CCGGTACGGGCGTCTTGCCTAGGCGCTTCCTCCGTGGTGGTGGCGTCTCGCCTTGGCGCCCCACCGTCGCCGGAGGTTTTTTTTTTTAAAAAAAAATTACAAAAATTAAAAAAATTACCTTCTGGCCGGCAAACCGCCTTCCGCCCACCGCCGGTGCCGCCACTTCCTTGCCGGGCCGCCTCGACATAGCTCTGGAAATAATTTAGAGAGAGAAAGTGGAAGTAGAGAGTAGAGAGAGAAATTGTGTGTTTTTTAGTATGAGGGCAAAAGTGTCATTTCACTCTTATTTTGTGGGCTTTATGTAGGAATTTGCGGGCGATGTTTAACAGTTCACAATTTCAAAGCTATAAAGAATGTCTTAGATCATATTTAATTCACCTTATTTTTACTTAATTTCTAAAAAAAAAAAAGTTCAAATTAGAAAAATAAGTTAAAATCATATTAGAAAAATAAGTTGTGACACACTTTATCATATTATGTATGGTTTTTTTATCGCTAAATATCTTTAATTTCATAACGCAAAAAAATTATGAAAATTACATATTAAAAAAAATCACATTATTACGAATCTAACAAGACCCCACTTGATATATTTTTTTATTATAGATTATTGTACACATAAGGTCAAAGTTTGGTCAAATCAAACAATCATATTAGACCAGATCAAATTAGATCAGATCATATTAGATTAGATCAGATCATAACAGGTCATATTAGATTAGATCAGATCATATCAGGCCGGATTAGATATACAAAAATAAGGTGAACTAAGCAATTAAGTCCTTAGTGATTTGAAAAAGGATTATAGAACATAAGTTGGCTAAGGTTCACCACAATTGATGCTTGCATGCATGTGATTGAGTAGTTGAATTCCAAATTTTTTTAAGTTGGTTGATTAAAGAATTAGGTATTGTTTGTTTGATATGGGAATTTAATTTCCATATGAATTTATATTTTATGAAAAATTAATTTCTTAATGAAATTCTTAAGAACCCATATGTACACTATATAGGTAGTAATGTAGATTAAAGAATTAGGTATTGTTTGGTTGATTAGACTTTAGTTTTTGTACGTGCATGATGACAATTGTAGAAACCCATATGTACCCTATGTGGGTCGTAGTAATGTAGTATTATAAACTTACCTTTTTCAAGAAAAAAGAGAGAAAGAGAGGGTGTAAATTTAGATTACATGTAATTTAAGTTACTCCATATTTTATTGGCTGGATTTATTTCATAGACATGACATTAACCGAAAACTAGTAGATGACAAATACTATCAAACTCAAAGATACCAAACACCAAAAGATTTGATTTCACGAGGACACTTGGTTGGGCTAAGACTACAAAAGAGTTATCCCAAACTTGGATAGAATTCCAATTTCCAAGCTTTATTCTTCGCAGTTTTCAAGTCATACACATTAACTATCACAATTTGCCCTAGCTTCACTGTCAAAATTTCAAATTCAATAGGTTTTTTTTTTTAATTGTATCATTTACTAAAATTGATTTTATTTACTGTAAGTTTTACTCTATTTGTTGTAATTATAACGAGAAACAAAACCAATTTTATTAACTTGCACACACTGCTCTACACTCCTAAAAAAAATACAAAGATGCATGAATATAAATAGCATACAAGATAACAACCTAAAGCTAATAATTAGGAGCATGATCTTATCAAACTAATTGACCCACTATGCATGACTCCACTAACCGTAACAATGACTAACTTCCCACGTAATTAGCCACTAACAACTTACTCCTAAAAAAACTCCAACTTATCAACATTAAACAAATTATTCACCTAAAAAATAGCTAAGCACTAGTTTTGAATCACTAACTCAACATTCCCCCTTGATTCAAAATTACACACAATTGACAAACTTTGCTGCTAACTTCATCGACTTGCATTGACGGACTTTGAATTGAACTTGACATGCTTTTTAAATCATCTCAACACGAACACGTAACCTCACACTCGACTTTAGACGAGCCTGCAATCTTCCTCTCTGAATTTTACAACATCTTGCTAGATGTTTTAATGTGTGATGCAAATCTCATCACCTACACATAATTTGTTGTGCACATTATCATCAACATGATATTCTCGGAGCACTTCTCTCCGCACAACCAAACCTCGACATTTTTTGTTGATGCACTTCTCATCAACTACTCGATCTTGTTGATGAAATTTTCACCATCTTACATTCAATGGAGCACATCTCTCCATTAACTCTCTTTGACATTGTCCTCCAATTGACCATGTCAACTTGCTTGTACCAAAAATCTTTGGTATTATCTTGGAAACCGTTTCTGCGTTGATTACGACTTCCACACTCGTAAAGATTATGCGATCTTTACCTCAAACAATATTTCGCCCTCTTTTTCATAGGATTAAAATCCATTTCATAGGCTAAAAGGGAACCCATCAACATACTAAACCAACCATTACTTCCATGGTCAAACACAAAAACACTCACAAAAAAAATTTCACTCGAAAAAAAACAAAAATATTGCTCACAAACATTGAGATCAAGCTGCGTTGCTTGTCTCTCTTACTCAATTTTTTTTAATACTCTCTCTCTCTCTGTTTTTTTTTCCTCTTCATCTCTCTCCCTTCTCTTTTCGATTTATCCCAAGATCTAACCTGAAGCTCTTGATACCATGGTGAAATTACAACGAGAAGCAAAACCAATTTTATTAACTTGCACACACTGCTCTACACTCCTAAAAAAAATTCAAAGATGCATGAATATAAATAGCATACGAGATAACAACCTAAAGATAATAATTAGGAGCATGATCTTATCAAACTAACTGACCCACTATGCATGACTTCACTAACTGTAACAATGACTAAATTCCCACTTAATTAGCCACTAACCACTTACTTCTAAAACAACTCCAACTTATCAACATTAAACAAATTATTCACCTAAAAAATAGCTAAGCACTAGTTTTGAATCACTAACTCAACACTATTCGTTTTCTACAACCTAGAAGTTTTTAAGCCCTTTAACATTACATATTGAAGTAGGTTTGGAATACATTACTTATTTACTGATAGAGTATATAAATCGATTTTGGGCTTCAACCAAAAACTTAATGGTCCATTAACATGGTATCATGTATCAAGAGCCAGTGTAATACAAAGATCACGAGTTCGAATCTCATCCACCTCCCCCCCTCCCTTCAAAGTGGAATATTGAACGGCTTAACGTTGGGTATGGTGGGGCCCATGCTACATCCATACTACTAGGTTACTAAGGTCACACGCTACACTCAGGTCTTCCTCTATTCTAGAGCGTATTAAGCAAAAAGCCTCGAGGGTTGGGGAGGATGTTTCTGAGAAGAGTCCTACTGTCAAAAAGGCTTCAATTCCTCCTCCGCTTCGTGCGTCAGGTGTCAAAAGGAAGTTGGAGG